TATATATAAATGTTTGTCTTCAGGAAATTTGTAAATAATGTAACTGTATATAAGATTTTAATATGTAAAAAAAATTGTTGCTATATTATTTGTAGCTAAATTTACCAACAAAGATAAAAATTTATATGTGTATAAGTATGAGCATTATCTAATGTTGTTTTGCAAAAAAAGCTTTCTCTCCATTAGTCATAATATTGTTGCAAAAACATGGTATGCAAATTTATCAGCACTTGACAGATTATATATATATATATATATATATATATATATATACAGAGTCAAACTAATATTTTGACAAAATTACAAATTTGCAAAAAATATTAAAAAAATGTAAACTATACCAAATTAAAAAAAAAAAAAAACATTTGTACTAAAAAATGAAAATTAGAAATATGTATTGAATGTTGCTATAATCATCAAAATCCGTCTACACGTTCAAGAGTTATCTGCTTTTTTATCCTTCATCTACATCTTTCTTGAGTGGTTAAAGTATAAGATTAATGGCCAAGAAAGAAACTGTGTGTCTGATCTTTACGAAAATGATAACATCTCAAAACAACATCAATGTGTATCGAATGTCGCTAAAAGCATCAAAATCCGTCAAGACATTCTCTAGTTGTCTTCATTTTTGTCTGTGGTTACTACAACTGGTTTCAATAAATTACGCTGTGGAAAAACGGCTTGTATGATCTTTACGGAAATAAGTACACAATTAAGCAACATCAATACGTCATAAATCATAAATATCCGTCAACATGTTCAAGAGATATCTTCTTTTTCATTCTTTATCTACATCCTTCTGGAGTAGTTAAAATATAGGAGTAACGCCAAAAAAGAAACTGTGTGTCTGATCTTTACGCAAGTGATAACATCTTAAAACAGCATCAATACTCATCAGATGTTGCCAAAACGGCCAAAATCCGTCAACACATTCTGGGGTTATCTTTACTTTGATCTACAGCCTTCTCAAGTAGTCAAAACGAAGTACTTATGCCACACAAAAACGGCTTGTCTGATCTTCATGCAATTTTTACTACCTCAAAAAAACATCAGTACGCATCAAATGCTGCTAAAACCACCAAAATCCGTCAACACGTTCTAAAGTTATCTTCACTTTTGCCTAGAGCCTTTTCAAGTAGTCAAAACGAAGTATCTATGCCAACACAAAAACGGCTCATCTGATCTTCATGCAATTTTTACTACTTCAAAAAAACATCAATACGCATCAAATGCTGCTAAAACCATCAAAATCCATCAACACGTTCTGGAGTTGTTTTTACTTTCATCTACAACCAACCATTACCATAGAAACTGCTCGACCGATTTTCAAGCAAAGTAGGAATAAATTAGCGAAATAAACATCAAAACTCAATTAATTAGTACTTTAACCCACAGCCAGGTATCACATTTAGTTCTAGTACTAATTTTTGTATTATCATCCAGTATTTTCCACACTTTTGACATCGTCACGTTCATTCACAGAATCGTGACATCGTGACTTTGATCTTCTTCAGTGATAATCAATTTATTATTTGCGGAGAAATGTGATAGATTAGAAATCTTCTCCGACAAAGATCTTGTAAAATAGTAAAATAGTAAAAAGATTTAGATTGAAATAAGAAGAACGTTTTGGTTTCTTCATCAGATAAAATTTAATTAAGTGATAAAAATATTATAGATCAGTATGATATAGTAATTTCTATTAATTATTATTTATTAACTTCCCGTAGGGCAAGTTATAGTAATCGCAAAAAAATCGAAAATGAAAATTTGTATATATCTTTACGTTTCAAAACCTTCTGAACATTTTGGCATACCTTAGAGGAATAGGATGTATGCGTGTGTGTGTGCGTGTATGTATGTATGTTCGGATACAAATTTTCGTCGACGATTTCGTGAACACCGATCAAGCGATTTGAATTTTTCAAAAAAAATTCGGTTCCTATTGATAAGGAGACGTGCTGATTAGTTTTTGGCAAAGGCAGGTCTAGCCATTCCGAAGATACAAGGCAAAAAGTGCCCAAAACCGGTAACTCAGTTTTTAAGAGAATGGAGCGTCCGATTTTAATAATTCAAAAAACATTCTACTTGTATTGACAAGATGAAGAACTGATTAAATTTTTGGGAAGGCAGGTCTAGCGGTTATGAACTCTCAATAAAAATAAGTTAAAAGAATGTCATTTGGCTGTCAAAAATGGTTATTGGACATACGTACATGAAATTATCAGATATTTTATAGAGATTTTAATAATGTGTACACATTTTGTGTAAATTTTTTTTGGGTTCCGTACCAAGATTTTACCGTATGGGAAGTTTAAGCAATTTGCCTTAAGGCACGATGCCATGCACCCCACTAGTTTATTATTTTTTAAAGTTATTTTATTTGATTTAAAAAAGAAACAAACATTGTTATATACACAAACGTTTTAGAAATTCACATAATACATCTTCAGGATCTTATATAATTTTTTTTAACTTTTTTATTCAAAACTAATAAGGAGTTTAAAATTAAATGTGATTTTGTTTACTCATATCATAAGTTGCAATTAATTTTTAAATAAATATATCAAAATATCATACGTTTCGGAAATTTCTTGGACCATCTTCAGGATTTTGAATAAAAACATTTAACATTTATACATCTTCAAAGATTAATTTAGATTAGTATATAAAACGTTTTGAAAATTTAAGTTAGACTATCTTCGTGGCCTTGCAAGAAAACTCTCAGGAGATTTTGATTTTTTTTAAATTTTTTTGCAAAAAAACCTTGTTTTTGATTATACGTTTATTATTAGTTATAATTAATTTTTATCTCTAAAAAATAACTCATTTCAAATATTGATCTATACGTTTCATCGTTTCGGAAATTTATATTAGACCATCTTCGCGATCTTAAATTAAAATATTTAGCACATGTTTGAATTTTTAAAAAACTAGATTTTACTCTAGATTGTTTTGTTTAAATCCAAATTAAAAATATTACATATGTACGTATTTACATAAACTTATACTTAACGAAAGGTTTAAAAGTTGCAAGAGATTTAATACAATTTTAATTTTGATTCGAATTGTCAAATACGATTTTAAGTATACCGAGTTGCTGTAGGGCTATATAATATTAGACAATATTGTAGACAATTTAATTTGATACAAATTTCTCATACACATCATTCATACTAATCGAATGAATTGAAATAAATAAAAAACAAGGTGCTAACAAAACCTTGAATGTGTTTTATATTTTCTTGTACAATTTTAAAGTATACCAAATTACTTTGAAGCTTCATTGTAAGACAATATTTTAAATAATTTTGTTTTATATAAATTTCTCATACACACCATTCATACTAATCGAACGCTTCAAAAATTACAAGCATAACAATAAACAATTTACAAGTCCAGACCCGGTGCACTATAAACAGTACAACGGGTCAAATCAAATTAAATCAATTTTTTTTACCAAATCACTTAAAGCATGCACTTTTCAAAACACTCAAAAAACAAAAAAAAACTATTTTAATAAATAAATAATTATAATTTATCCCACTAACCACAAGGTGACGCGTGGCCCGCATGTTGTCACCCGTCACTCCTCTTAGGTCACTTGATCACAAAACTTCGATTTTTTTGGCCAAAATTAAAAAAAAAGCCAAAAAATAAAAAAAATCGTCTTCCAAAAAACACTTGTCGTTTACAAAGTGTGAAAGTGTATTATGTTCTGCTGGCGATTGCGTTTGTTTGACTTTTATATATAGACCGACGACGATGATGAGAGGTGGTAAGTGAAAGACTTTCACGTTGGAATCGAGATTATTAACGAGTTTGGGTAAATGACAGATGATTGGTTATTATTAGGAGTTACGCAAGGACGTGGAAAAGGACTCTTGGTAAGGATGTGCCAAGTTTGGGTGAAGGATTGATGAATGGTCAGGATTGGAAGTTACTCCTGGTAAGGATTTACTAAGTTTGGATAAAGGATAGATGATAGATTTGGATTGGGAGTTACTCCTAATAAGGATTTGCACTGTTTGGGTAAATGACAGATGATTGGTTATTATTAGGAGTTACGCAAGGACGTGGAAAAGGACTCTTGGTAAGGATGTACCAAGTTGGGGTGAAGGATTGATGAGTGGTCAGGATTGGAAGTTACTCCTGGTAAGGATTTGGATAACGAATTGATGAATGGTTTGGATTGGAAAATACTCCTAATAATTAAACGTCCTTGCCTTTATCTAAACTTTGTAAGTCCTTACCAAGATTAACTTTCAACCCTGACCATTCATCAATCTCTTATCCAAATCTTGTTCATCCTTACTATGAGTCCTAATATATGTCCTTGGGTAACTCATAATCATATTCAGTCATCTATGTTTTATATAAACCCTGTAAATCCTTAATAGATAAACTTCTTCAACCTTAACCAATCATACTTCCTTCATCGAAACTCTTTAAATCCTTACCAGAAAACTTCTCACAATCCTATCCAATCACCTATCCTTTATCCAAACCTTGCTAATTCTTTCTAGAAGCTTTTGCACAATTCTAACCATCATCTTTAATCATCCAAACTTGGTAAATCCTTATTAATCGAAATTATTAACGAGTTTGGGTAAGTGGCAGATGATTGGTTATTATCAGGAGTTGCGCAAGAACGTGGTAAAGGACTCTTGGTAAGGATTTATGAAGTTTGGTAAAGGATTGATGATTGTTCAGGATTGGAAGTTAATCCTGGCAAGGATTTACTAAGTTTGGATAAAGGATAGATTATAGATTTGCAGTGGGAGTTACTCCTAATAAGGATTTGCAGTGTTTCTGGGTAAATGATAGATAATTGGATATTATTACGAGTTACGCAAGGACGTATAAAAGGACTCATGGTAAGGATGTACCAAGTTTGGGTAAAGGATTGATGATTGGTCAGGATTGGAAGTTACTTCTAGTAAATTTGGATAAAGGATTGATGAATGGTCTGGATTGGAAAATACTCCTGATAATTAAACGTCCTTGCCTTTATCTAAACTTTGTAAATCCTTACCAGGATTATCTTTCAATCCTGTTAGATTCATCAATCTCTTATCCAAATCTTGTATATCCTTACCATGAGTCCTATTATATGTCCTTGGGTAACTCATAATCATATTCAGTCATCTATGTTTTATATAAACCCTGTAAATCCTTAATAGATAAACTTGTTCAACCTTAACCAATCATACTTCCTTCATCGAAGGAAATAAATAAAAAATAAATAAACTCTTTAAATCCTTACCAGAAAACTTCTCACAATCCTATCCAATCACCTATCCTTTATCCAAACCTTGCTAATCCTTTCTAGAAGCTTTTGCACAATTCTAACCATCATCCAAACTTGGTAAATCCTTATTAATCGAGATTATTAACGAGTTTGGGTAAATGACAGATGATTGGTTATTATTAGGAGTTACGCAAGGACGTGGAAAAGGACTCTTGGTAAGGATGTACCAAGTTTGGGTAAAGGATTGATGATTGGTCAGGATTGGAAGTTACTTCTAGTAAGGATTTACCAAGTTTGGATGATTGCAGATGATGGTTAGAATTGTGCACGAACTTTCTGTAAGGATTCATAAGAATTGGATAGGATTGTGATGTCTTCTAGTAAAGATTTAAAGGGTTTGGATAAAGTATGAATGATTGGTTAAGGTTGAGCAAGGTTTTCTAGTAAGGATTTACAGGGTTTTAATGAAGCATAAATGACTTAATATGATAATGAATTACCCAAGTACGTGTGAAAGGACTCTTGTTAGGATGATAAAGGATAGATGATAGATTTCGATTGGGAGTTACTCCTAATAAGGATTTTTAGTGTTTGGATAAGGGATAGATGATCGGCTAGCAATGTATGCGGACTTCTAGTAAGGATCTACAAGGTTTAGATAAAAGATTGATAAATAATCAGGATTGTGAGTCATTCCTAGTATAGATTCTTTAGGTTTAAAAAGTTTGGATAAAAGATAGATGGTTGGTTGAAGTTATGCAAGGTTTTCTAGTAAGTATTTATAGGACTTCTATAAAGCATAGGTAAGGATCTACACGGTTTGGGTAAAGGATTAATGAATGGTCAAGATATTAAGTTACTCCTGGTAAGGATTTACTAAGTTTGGATGAAAGATGGATGATTGAGGATGATGATTAGAATTGTGCAAGAACTTATAGTAAGGATTTACAGGGTTTCGAAAAAAGCATAGATGATGGAATATGATTATGAGTTACGCAAGGACGTGTAAAAGGACTCTTGGTAAGGATATACCAAGTTTGGGTAAACGATTGATGAGCTGGCAGGATTGGAAGTTACTCCTGGTAAGGATTTACTAAGTTTAGATGAAGGATGGATGATTGGTTAGAATTGTGCAAAGACTTCCTGTAAGGATACAAAAGAATTGGATAAAAAATAGATGATTAGATAGGATTGGAAGAAGATTTCTGATAAGGATTTAAAGGGTTTGGATATAGGATGAGTAATTGGTTAAGATTGTGCAAAGTTTTCTAGTAAGGATTCACATAGTTTGATGAATGGTCAGGATTAGAAGAGACTCCTACTAAAGATTTACTAAGTTTGGATAAAAGATTGATGATTGGATAGAATTGTGCGAGGACTTCCACTAAGGATTTACTAGCTTGGATAAAAGCTAGGATTGTGAAAAGTCTTCTACTAAGGATTAAAATGCAAAGTCTTAACCAAGATTTAAACGTAAGATTTTGAAGGGTTTGGATAAAGGGTAGATGATTGGATAGGATTGTGAGAAGTCTTCTGGTAAGAGAAGTCTTCTGATGGATGATTGGTTAAGATCGTGCAAGGATTTACAGGATTTATAATATACAACATAAATGATGGAATATGATTATGAGCAAGGACGTATAAAAGGACTTCTAGGAAGGACTCACACATGAGACTGCCACTACATGATAGGTCAGGCTTGGGAATACAAGGATGTGTGCTAAGACTCCTACTAAGAAGATACGAAGTTCAGATAAAAGGCAAATAAACGGTTAGAGTTAGGAGAATGTACTTGTTTGACAAACACATGACGGGTTAGGATTCTAGTAAGGATTTTAATAAAATAAAATAGATCATTATCCACTTTAAGGAATAACTCAAGGACGTGTGAGAAATTTTTATATTACTTGGATTAAGAATAGATGGTTAGTCAAGATTAGGAGTTCCTCCTAGTAAGGATTTACAGAGTTTGGACCAAAGGTAGATGATGAATACGAGGATTCCTGCCTGGCTTTGACAAGTTTTGCGTAATAGGTAGATGACTGGTTAGGATTGACAGTTACTTCTAGTAAGGATTTACCAGGTTTAGGTTAAGAATAAATAATTGGTTAGGGTTGGGAGTTTTTTCTACTAAGGATTTACAAGTTGTAGGTAAAGGATTTATGAATGGTTGGGACTCGCAATTTAGGAATTGGGAGTTCCTCCTACCAATGGTTTCCATGGTTTGAGTAAAAGATAAATAATTAGTTAACATTAAGAGATACTCCTTGTAAAGATACTTAGGGGTTGACTAAAGGATGGGCGATTGTTTAGGACAGTGGAAAAAATTCTAGTAAGGTTTTTTTGTAATTTGGGTTAAGGATAGATAATTGGCTAAGATTGGGAGTTACTTCTTGAAAAGATACATAGGTTTAGTGATTGGTCAGGAATGTGTGAGCTCCAGTAAGGATTTCTAAGGTTTGGATAAAAGATAGATAAATCATTAGAATTTGGAGTTACTCCTGGTATGGATTCTTTGGATTTGGACAAAAGATAGATGATTAGTTAGACTTGTGCAATGACTTCTAGTAAGGATTTACAAGGTTTGGGTAAAGTATAGATGATTGGTTAAGATTTTCTGATATGGTCTTACTGCTATATGGTGGTTAGTTAGGAGTTGCACTTGTGCGAGGATTTTGATCAAGAGTCCTAGTAAGATAGGTTTGGGTAAGATATAGAAGTTTTTTTTATTAATTGGAAGTTACATCTAAAGATTCAAAGGTTTGGTCAAGAGTAGATGGTAGTTGGTCAATATTGAGAGTTAGAAAAGGCGCCTGCAAAGATCCCTACTAAAAATTTCCAGGGTTTAGATAAAA